TCGCCGGGTAATTTTTGGAATTTAAGCTACGGAGGGAGTCGAGGAAGGCATTGGCCACTGAGGTGGCGTTGCGCGGCGGTGGGGCGGTGGCTGTTGTGGCGGCGGCGGCGAGCGTGCCGATATAGTGAACGGCGGCGACAGCGGTGGCGTTGTCGACGGCGACCGACATTGTGTCGAGGAACGGTGAGGCGGTGACCATATACTTGCCGGAGGCTCGGTCGGCGGCGAGGATGACGTTGGTGGTTTGCCCGGGGGCGACGAGGACGGTGTCGGTTTTGAAGGGTTTGACGTAAGTAGCGTCAACCTCGACTACTGTGAGCTGGTGGCCGGCAATCTTGAAAAATAGCTCCTCATTGAGTGCAGCGTTGATGAGCCGGAGGAGGTACGTTTTTCCTGGGGCCACGCTCAACGAGAAGGCATCTACAAAGGGGGTGTAGATCGAGTAATTTTATATAATTAATTAAAAAGAGTTGCCTGTACAATTTTTTCGTACAATATTTCATGACAACATGATATAATATTATGTGGATGGTTGAGATGCAATTAATTGCATGACTAAGATTTGACACAATGAAAATTTATAAAACACCTAACTAATGTTGTCAAAAAATGTTGTCAACTATATTTGTACATGCATCATGCATCATTTCCCACACCTAACTAATGTTGTCAAAAAATATTGTCAAATATATTTGTACATGCATCATGCATCATTTCCCGAATTATAATCCGGTCGACCGAATTTAGAGATTGTTTAATAAAACTTCTACCTGCGGACGAACAATTCGAGACGAGTCCCGGATGACCGTTGATGGTGTGAGCATCAGACACGTTCGGCGCCAAGCCCGATTTAATCGCCTCGTTGATTACGGCTTCGGTGTCGGATTTCCACCATTCGCTTAAAACGACGACCCTTTCGTGATCGGGTTTTGGGAAGGGATACGACACGCCGAGCTTAGGCAAAATGACTAAAGCACCATGCACGGTGGACCTAAGCCAGAGAATGTGCGCGTGCCAAAAGAGTGTGCCCCTTTGGCCCGTGATCGTGAAATTGTAGACGTAGCTATGGCCCGGCTGAATAGGGCATTGCGTAATGTACGCGGGTCCATCGGCCCAACCCGTTCGGAGCTGCCTAACTCCATGCCTACAACAAATATTTTTTTCACAAAATTATCCTCGTTTTTTTCTTCGAGTCAATCCTACTTCGACAAGCGATTGGTTATTATCATATATATACTTTTTTTAACATTCTCTTACCAATGAATGGATACGTTGTACTTGACTCGGTTGATGACCCTGACGAGCAACGTGTCGCCTTCCCTCGCGTAGATTGTCGGGCCCGGGAATTTCCCGTTAACGGTGACGATGGGCTTGCTCGAGCACAAGCGGGTCGTGCTTTTCGTCGCCACCTAAAAAACACCCCAAAAAATTCAAGATTCACTGTTTATACATTTCAAAAAAAGAAAAAAATAAAAAAAAAATTCAACTATGCAACAAAATGCAAAACTCACATTAAACTGATAATGCCTGACTTTGCATTGGACCAAAACAGGGGACAAACATATTGATACAAGGATCAAAATCCTAAATTGCCACAAACCCATTTAAATTTCTTGATAATGCAAGAACACAAAACCAAAAAAAAGACACAAAATAATAACTAAGTTTTTGTTTGTTCTTGATCAGTTGATATGTCTTGATCTGAGCAAGTTGCACTCAGCCATGACTGCCCAACGCAAGCTTATATAGACTGAATGCTAACAGCCAAAAGAAAATGAAAAATTCTGTCGTAATGTCGTTTTACATTTGTTAGGTGAAACCAATTAAACCTTCAAACCTAAGCGTTCTTAGGTGAATCAAACTAAGTTTTTTTTATTTTTTTTTTTCAGTTTCCAGACTAATTAATTGATATGTTATCAAAGTCTTAGTGAGATTTGGTTTTGTGAAAATTTCTTCATTTGATGATTTTAGTGTTGGTGGAATTGTGTGTGATGTACATGTGCCAAGTTGTTAGGAGGGTACGAAAAAAAGGATAATTAAATGCAAGTTTAAGTCATTTGGGTTAGCTAATTATATAATTATTTATTATATTAATTTTTTTCTTGGGAACAATTAGAAAGTACTAACATATAATGTTTAAGGCTTGGTTTAGTTAGTACTTAGTACAATGTCAAGAATTTGGTAGTTAGCTATAAGGGATTACTATAATGACACATATAATGGTTAGTCGGGTCGACCCGATATAGTTCAGTAAGACAGTTGCTGAATATGGTCAAATGGTTTTGTTATGGAGTCACCCGATGGCTCGGCTTATGGAGTCATCCATAGTTATTCACAAATGGCGTATTGAGTATTGACACGTGTCTACAATAACTACACATTGGACACGTATCAGTATATAAAGTTATGGGTAACTCCATAAAGGAACCATCCGATGACTCCATAAAATTTCTTTATGATAATCCTCGAATTTTAGGTAAAAAAAGGGATCATAATCCCCCTATATATAATTCCCGAATGCGCTGAGCCTACGTGGCTGCTTCTTGTGCTTCGAAATCCTACTTGGCGAAGAACTTCTTCGTAATTAGGTTTGGACAAATAATATTGATATATTAATAATTAATAACTAGATTCGGATATTCCATAAATATTATTTAGCTAACTTGGGTATTTTAGTATCACTTGTACTAATATAACCCTTTAATTCTTTGTAATTTTATGTAGTGAGACACGCACTAAGTGAACAATATATCCCTGACTTTTGATTTGTTTCCTTCAATTAGCTATTTTGTATTTCTTATCAGTTTTACACAGTGTTTTAAATACCGTACCGGTGACCATACCGGTCTATCCACCGGTACGCGGTATTACCGGTACGACCGGTAATATCGGTGGTATTACCGGACTAGCAAATATAATAATATATATGTTTATTTATAAAAATATATAATACCAAATACAAAAAAATAAAAAATAAATGATCATAATCATTAATTTTAACTTACCAATGAAATAAAATAAAACATTCTAACTACCAATTTAAATTTTATGTTTTTAAATTAAAAAAAATATATTTTTTATTTTTTTTTTTAATTTTTTTTTTCATGGCCGGTATTTTGGACCGGTTTTTCCCGGTATTTACGGTACAATACCGGTACAAAACGGTATTACCGAAAATCCGGTATTTTGTGTGTTTTTGTACCGCACCTAAGGCCGGTAACCGGTAATACCGGTATTACCGGCCGGTACGGTACGGTTTTTTAAACACTGGTTTTACATATATAATATATCAAAGTAATCATCTTTTAATGATCTTCGATTTGACATCCATATTGTATATATGAAATAAATAAATTATATTTATATTTATAATAGAAAATAATAATATTTATTAAAATTCATTAGAAAAATAAAATTATTTCTCAATTGATATATTTATGTTTAATGTAATTATATGTTGTAAGTTAAAAAATTATTATAATATAACACAAGTAAGTCGCACAAATAAAAAGTGTCATATTAAATATATAATAATATATATATATATATATATATTTACAAAAGATATTTAAATTTTCAACTATCTTTTCTCATTAATTTTAAATTTTAAGAAAAAAATTAACAAGCACCTGTGTAATACACGGACGTTGTACTAGTAAATATAATATATGAGAAGAATGTTCGTTTCATATAAAAATAATCACTGCATATAGTGTGATAGTAAATTGTGGAATGTTAATTCAAATATATCTTATTAGTTGTGAGGGGCCTTTCACTTAAATCTCAATTACTAATCACCCAACATCTAATGAAAATTGTTTAAAAGCTACGAAATTATTTCGCTACTTAACCAACCTATGGGTAACATTACAACTCAAACAAGAAAGGCCATCACATCACACATTCTAAAGCCAACTAATTTATAATTGGAAAGTCTTTATCAACTTGATTAAGAAAGGGATTAATTTAACTTTTTTATTGGGTGGGAACTGAAATTCTAGTTACATAAACTCTTATCTATTGAGGAGGTTTAGTTAAGTAAGTCAAGTTTTTAACAATTAAAGGAGTTAAACTCGAGACAATCCTTTATATAGATATATATATTAGACGACGCGTGTTGTTTTGGACGGTCCCCTCCTGGACCTCGGTTTAGGGCTCCTTAGGCATGGCTCCTTTATTCTTCTCCTTAGACATTCTCTTCCCTCTCGATTGACGACTTTGGGAGTTCAGATCTGGAGTGAGATTTTCTCCTTGTCAGATCTGACTAGCTACTAGTAGTTGGGGTTTTAAGTCTGGAATCTTGCTCTGTCGTTCTCTTTGATTTTTTTTTTTTGTT